CAGCAACTCCATGGTATCCTGTTATCAGGGCCTTCAAGAGTCAGTCATAGTTAAGAGACATACTCAAGTTACACATTAAAAAGATGTTCCCATTAACTGTTTTAAAGTCACTTGAACTTGAGTGAGTTGAAGACAGAGAATATATGAGCCATACCAAGTCTCTCTGTACTCATGTTTAACTGATATTTAAAACGTCTAACTTGAATTAATCTGTTCAATTGTGATATAAGGACAGTCATGGCTCTCTCTAACACAATGAATTTCAACTCTGTGGGCCACTACCCCTTTGGGGTTACATATAAAATATTTACATTACAATTCATAACAGTAGCAAAATTACAGTTACAAAGTAGCAATGAAATAACTTTATGGTTGGAGGTCACCACAACATGAGGAACTGTTTGAAAGGGTCCCAGTACCAAAAAGCAGAGATTCCATTCAGATCTCAGCCACTTCTCCTCCTACTTTGCAGATGGTCCCATTATGTTCAGAAATTGTCTGGGCCCCACACTTAAGAATTTCAACCATGACCTGAGTTCTGACATTGGCATGAGATCCAAAGGGCATGGGTCCTAACAGTAAATATATTACTAGAACTTAGATTCATTGAGGAGTATTTTCTGGTCACTTCCCATGCAATCAATGAGCACTGTAAAAATCAAATATCAGAAAAAGAACAAGGAAAAACACAGCCTGATGTTTTCTTGTGTGTCTGTGTGGTTAGATGACAGAATTTTTTATAAATGTACCACATTTCATCTTTATCTGTTCCTCTGTTGAGGGACATCTAGGTTGTTTCCAAGCTGCTATGAACATAGTTGAGGAAGTGTCCTTGTGGTATGAGTGAGCATCATTTGCTCAAAGGCACTGTAACTAGGTCTTGCAGTAGTTTAAATCCCAGTTTTCTGAGAAATCAAATATCCTTCAACCTATAGTCTGTTCTGCCTGTGATGTGCTACAGTAAGAGTGGCCTAAAGATTGAGGGGTGGCCAGCCAAGGACCACTCTAGCCTAGATATCCTGCTATACTCATAGATTGGTGCCTAGCCTGTCATCAGAGAGGCTTCATCCAGCAGTTGATGGAAACAGATGCAACCCCACAGCCAAACATTATGTGGAGTTCCTGGATGCCTACAGAAAAGGGAGACAAATGATTGTAGGTCCCAGAGGAGTCAAGGACACCACAAGAAAACTCAGAGAATCATCTAATTTAGACTCTTAGGGACTCGCCAAGACTGAACCGACAACCAGGGAGCCTGCATGGGACTGACCTAGGTAGGCCCTCTGCATATGTTACAGTTGTGTAGCGTGGTCTTCTTGTGGGACTCCTAAAAGCTGAACAGGGATTGTCGCTGACTCTTTTCCTGGCTTTTGAGACCCTACTCTCATACTAGGTCACCTTGCCCAGCCTTAATACATGGGGGGGGGGGGTGTGTGCTTAGTCTTACTAATGAAAGACCTAAAAAGTAATGTTAATGATGGACTAACCTAGAAACCAATATCTGTTCCTTGGAATTTGCTAGCCCTCTCACAAGGCCCTGAGATAAGAACTCACACTGCTCCTCCTTTCCTGTGAGTCAACAGGTGGTAAATAGGATCAAGAGATAGCTGTAACTCTGGTTTGCCCAGACAAGATTAATTAGCACACCTGAGGCCCTAAGGTCTGCTGACCCTAAAAGCAGACCATCCGGCCTCCAAGGGTCACGTACTCAATGGACAGAGGGTCCCACCCCCTCCCTAAGCTTGTGGGGTTGCCTTTAAAAACACCTGGGCCCAGGGGAGGGGGGCTTCTCCCTAGCCTGCGTGCTGGAGGAGCCCGTTTGTGCAAACGTTTCCTGTTCATTAAAGCCTCTTGCGTTTTGCAGCAACTGGACTGGACATTGAGTTCTTGGGGTATGGACCGAACCTGGAAGACTCCTCATTCTGAGGGTCTTACACTTCAACTTGATATGCCATGTTTTGTTGATATTCATGGATGGGAAGAGTGGCAGACTGAGAAGAGAGAGGGGTGGGGAAGCAGCAGCCTGGATGTAAAATTAATTAATTAATTTTTAAAAGAACATTTTAACGACTAATTATTGTCAGGGGCAGCCTGGATGTAAAATTAATTAATTAATTTTTAAAAGAACATTTTTAACGACTAATTATTGTCAGGGGCTTCTGCTCCGTCAGTCAACATATGTCATTTCTGACTGTGAAACTATTGTTGCAATGAGGAGCTACCTGGGAAGTATGGAAGGTCGCGTGAGCCAGGAAAACCGTTTGCTTTAATGCTTTAGTATCTGAAAACTGGAGCCATGGTCGGCTGCATGTCTTCCAGTGAAACGCGTATCCAAACATGTAAATGTGCCACCACACAATGCAGCCCTGACATGGATCCAAACCCGGCAGAGGTCCCGGGTGCTGAATTCAGTAAAGTGACAAGTTAACAGCCAATCAGGTAGCTCTTAGTGCAGAAGTAGGCTGCGGTTCGTCGATTCAGGCGCTGTGGGCGGGTCCTGGAGCTCTGCGGAAGCCACCAGATGCTGCCTCTGCTTAGGCCAGGCTTCCTGCGGCTGGTTTCAACTGCTTCCCCCAGGTGATCACATAACCCCACTGCGGGTTATGCTGAGCAGAGAGAAGGGAGGCGGCAGGCGGAGATCTTTGGAAGACACAGGTCCTGCACTCCTTACCCAGACCCGGGGACCTTCCCAAACCCGGAGGGCAGAAAGGTGCAGTCACCCTTCCCCGACCTTCGGTGTTCGAGTCTAGGGCCTCCGCCCCTCAGCCCCAACTTTCTGGTTATAGCCAGGCTCCGCCCTCTCCCTCTCCTCCCTGAGCACTTTGAAGCACCGGGTGGGTGCAACATTCTGACGTCATCAGACGAGTTGTCAACTAAGTTCATGATGGAGAACCGCACTATCCAGCAAAATCGCATAAAGAAAATTAAGTTTACAGATTGAGCCATATTCCTAGCTGTCCACGGCTGCAAGTTGAGCATGCCTGAGCGGTTAATAATGTTAAGACTTGACCAAGTAATGTCTGTATGATAAAAGCATGAAAGCAGATCTTCTATGGAGAACTGCATCTGTTTATCCCCAGATCTTTGGCAGCTCTCCCATGTTTACATTTTAGAAGCCATGTATAGAAATAACATGCATCCAAAACTTTTCATGATTTATCATTTCTTTTCTTTTTGCCGCACTTTCCTACAGCCAGTATCTTGCAAATTTTCAAATCTTCTGTTGCTCTTCGTGCTTTTGATATCAGAGCGTTGCACACGTGCACTCACACACGTTCACGCATACACACACTCTGCCTTAGATGAAGATATTAACACTTCTACTAGCGGCTGAGTCTCAACTTTTACATTTAATTCTCATGAATTTAAAATATATTGAGACACTGTTCTTGGCATCGAGAATACAGTGAACGAAACAGAAAATATCTCTGTAATTTAAATTTGTCATGGCATTAGGAATATTGTGAAAAAATATGCATAGTCAATGTCTAGTGTGAAAATTAAGTAGTAGGATCATGGAAACAGTTCCAGTTAGAGCAGCATGACCCCAAGAAGGGGAAAAATGAGCAGACATGGGTCCAGGATTCCTCCTCTGATACGGCTTATATATGGCTTGCAGTGAAGCACAATAGGGCGTTTGAGTTCAGTATTTGCAGAACTGGATCTTAGAGCTCTGATCTCATTGTTTGGTGGTGACAGTGGAAGCAGAAGCAGGCAAAACGATAAGAAGGGATAATCTACTGATGGCCTGGACCTCAGGCCAACAGATGTTTCTGTCCTGGTTCCACCAAAATGCCCTTCTGCAAGACTAAACACAGTGATTTCTTCCTCTCTGTTTTTTAGTTTGTCTTATACCCTGAAGCTGGAGAAGAAAAGAGGTTGTCCCAAAGTACAAGCACCTGCAAAAATGAGAACAATAATGATTTCTGTCCTGGATAGTTAAATAAGCCACATTATCCATGTAAAGTGCACAGAGCCATGCCTGGCACATAGCAGATACTCAGGAGTGTTTCCTACTATTTTGCTTTGTTTTCAGTTACCTAATAATCTATAAAAAGCATCTGGGGTTTAAGAATAGTTCCCTAACCCTAATGGAGTTATTTGGCAGGCATGCACTCAGCAGTTAATTGCCTGGTAGACGCTATTTAGGTCCTGGAGACACAGCAGCATTTAAAGCCAGTGTGAATCTTCCCTTTACATAGCCTATCCAGGAGTACAAACTTACAAGGTGAGTTAATAAACCAAGGATGCCAAGAAGACTGTCACTGACTACTCAAGCCCCATACACACATGTGGCCTGGGCAAAAGTCATCTGTATACATCATCTATCCTTCCGTGATCCTGGTTTTTATTTTCCAAGGAATGTTATTTCCCCTTTGCTTCTAACATGCAACGCTGCATGCTGAGGAGAATGTCATTGTGTTGATGAACCCTGAAACTGAGATACAGGAGAGGCAGATAGTGATTTACAGGACACGGTGAAAGAACTGCAATTGCACTTTCGTACACTTCAGTATGCAAGCTAAGAAAATCTGAGCAAACAGGCAACGAGCTTCTGGCATGTGTGATTTTGCACCTTGAAGAATATATCTGTACACAAAAGGTATCACAGAGGAAGGTTGACAATATTCTGTGGCCTTTTTCTGAATGTTGGAACATCACATTTTGTATTAACTTGCCCTAGTCCAAGAGAGACTATGTTGATTTCCGTAGCATGATTAGAGTGTGAATGGTAGAGTAGAATAAACTCAAGAGAATCAGAATTTTAAAAATAAATAAAAAAGATTTCTCCAAATCCACTTGTGGATTGTGCCTTCTGTGATGTGGACAGTGTTACCCAATAATAGCTTTAGTGGAGGCTGATGCATATTATATATGGCCAGTGAAGATTCTAAATTAAGTGTATTTTTATCAATCACCTTTTCCTCTTGTTTTTTCTTGTTTTTATTTTATTCTTTGCAGTCTTCATTCATGTTCTGAGACTGTTGTCAGATGGAATCATGGATTCTGCAGTGTTCATAGAAACTATTGTGGCAGATGTTAACTGTCCCAACTGTATGACCTTCCTCAAGGAGCCTGTGAGCATTGGCTGTGGCCACACTTTCTGCCACAGCTGTCTCTCTGGACTCTGGAAGCTCTCAGAAGAATCCCAGGACTGGGGCTACACCTGCCCCCTCTGTCGAACTCCTGTGCAGCCAAGGAAACTATATCCTTATTGGCAGCTGGCCAGTGTTGTAGATAAGGTCAGTCTGCTAGGGTTCTGTGTGGAAATGGGACTGAAGACTGATGTGTGTAATCTCCACAAGGAACCACTGAGGATGTTCTGCAAAGACGATGCCCTGGTAACCTGCAAGGCCTGTAACCAGTCCCCAGAGCATAAAGCACACATTGTTGTGCCCATAAAGGATGTTGCCTGGGAATATAAGGTAGTCAATAGAACCTGGCCACCCCAATCTTTCCTCTGCTTCTCATCTGGCCATCTCTTTATCAGAAGGGGATTGAAGAGCTGATCCCCTTGGCCCCTGATGTCCACAGATCCTTGCATCTAATATTCTGAGTTACATCATTTCCCCTGTTCATGGCCATCTTTGATTTTCTTCTCTCCCATTTCCTCTGCATCCCATCTCAAGCCTTAACTTGGGGATGCCTAACAAGAGGATGGGTTAAGTGTTGAGAACTTGAAGCAGACCCTTGGTTTCTATTGGAATTCTACATGGCTTGAATGAGTTTACATATGATGACTGTTATTAGTCAAGGACCTGCTAACTTCCCCTGGTTAGGGCCACATATAGTTATTTGACATTGACTCAATCATTTTAACCTCTTCATTTTATAAACATAACTCAGTCTTAGTAATGTGGGATCATGATATATTATTTTGGAGCTGGGAAGTACAATAGATGAGTCCCTTAGGATTGACTCTCCAGTTGCCAGACAATGCTTATATGTATTAACATGCATTAATACTCACTATCCATATTATCAGGTCTTTTCTGACTTTAGATTAAATTAAAAAGACATAAAAAGGCTAAAATAGAGAGACTTTTCTTTGTCTAGGGCTCTGTTTACCACATTTTGGGATAAGCCATCTCTGTCACATGCCCTGCTTATTTGTCCTAAACATGTGATTGGTTTCCAGGCCTCACTTTGCTCTTTTCTCAGATGTGCATGGGTGATATTTTTCTGTCTTAATTCTCTTTCTTTGAGTTGGTATTAAAATGTAAGAATATGTGGTATCCTCTGAATAAGCAATTTTCCAATGGCACAAATATTTAAAACATAAAAGTTGCATGTTTCATTTTGTTTGAGAGTTTTAGTGTATGTGCAATGCTTGAATTGTATCTGGTGCTTTATAATTCTTTAACAAAACCAGTTACTATTATCAGAATAAAAGGTACCAACTAAATACTTTTGGCCTTCTAGTAAGAATCTTTTGCATTCCTTTCCTAGAAAAGTGTCTTACATTTATTGTGTTTCTGAACTACCCAAGGAGCTTCCTAAATTCCAGTTCTCATTTGTTAAGTATAGGGCAAGATTCAAGATTCTACTATGCTGATGCTCCTGGCTTTGAACCACACTTTCAGCAGCAAGGTTCTGGGAAGTAAATAGGAAGAAAATTAACAAAATTAAAAATAGTCATGGTTAGGAAATTTCAAAGTCCTCGTTTCCTAGAAAGTCTGGCTACAAACCTTTGCAGATGCTTGGGAACTATGGGAGTTAAGATGGTTCTCAACCCAAAGAACTTCCCTGGGTATCCCATGGACAATCTGTGCCTTCTATGGCATCCCTTTTTCTCTTAGCATTTATTGCAGCCTGTTGCCTTAGGAACATTGATCATACTCATGAGCTTCCTGTCTCTTACAGTGGAAACTCTAGGAGGCTCTGGAACTTCTCAGGAAAGGACAGGAAGAAGCCTGGAAGCTGGAAGTCAGCGAGAAGAAATGAGCTGCTAGCTGGAAGGCAGGTTGCACTTGAGAAAGGGGTTCATGTCATCCTTCTCTTCCAGAGATGACAGTGAAGGCTACCTCATATCTGTGAAGCAGAGCCTTCAGCTTTCTCTTTTCTTAAGGCCATGTAGCTTCTCAGGTCCATCTCACCAGTTGTGAGGAAGCAGTCTCATCACATTTTCACATTCAGGTCAGATGTTATAGCTTAGAGAAGGAAACTTAGAAAATTTCTTATCTAAAGAGTACAGAATGAACTCACACCTGTGATGTTTGAGTCATATTCTTTATTCTTCTACTGGCACTAATTCTACCTCTGTAGCTTCTAGTTCTCCTTTGTTTCAATTCTCTGAATCAACTCTGTCTACTTCTCTGTTCCTCTAGCCTAAGTACACTTTTTTTTTTACAGGAGGCTGAAGCAATAATAAAAAAAATTGAAAGAGTTACATCTCATTGATCAAAATGGCATTCCTTTGGGTGAGTGATACGGGCACAGTCCTTTATCGTGGCAATGCAAAACTTCAAGATTTCTGGAAGTAGACTGACCAGAGGGTGAGGATACAGTACCCATTGAGATAAGCTATGAGATATAATTCTTCTATCAACTAGATTTGACAAATGAAGAACGGCATGATTTTTTAGGCTTCTTTCTTTTAATACCTTGGCTAGACACTTGTGACTTGGACCTTGTGTATAACTGAAAAGTTTTAAACTTATGATCCAATTACAAACTTTTAGTCTATTTTGAACTTGCTCTGAGGTAAAAATGAGCTAATTGTATGCACTTTGCCTTAGACTGAGGAGAAATTGTTGTTTTCTGATATTAGTCTGATATCAGGAACAAGGTGGCTTTTAAGTGCCTCAAATGGTCCTTGTGGGACAATAGATCTAGTTATGAACCATATCCTAGTCTATTTTCTGTATATCAAAATTATACAGATTAATGACCATCCATATGTGTACCCAGTAGATGGAATATTTTTACAAGATAAATACACAAGTAGTGGGAAAGCACCCAAAGCTATTTTTAGGGAAGAAATGAAGTGACTCATTGGAGAAATTGCAGACAGAGACAAATAGTTTTCTACAGCCACTGACCCCATAGCCATGCCAAGTGGGTCTCCCCACCAGAGAATCCCTGTTGAACACTAGTTGTCACCTGGTGTATACTCCCATGGTCTCCAACACTTGGCAACCAATCTCTTTCTCTTCTATCCTAATACTTAACCTTCCCTACAACAGAAAGTTGTGAGTATTCTTAACTCTCTGTCATGAATGATTTAAAGCTCAACAAGCCAGCTATCCTACCTCTGTTTTGCTGAACAGGGGAATCTAACTGACTGGCTATGGCCAAGCCACTCTTCCCTGGACACTAAGGGAAGGAAGCTTTGTGGGGCATAGCTAAGACTCCTGAACCCAAAATATACCCTTTTCTGCAGGAGCAAATCTTGGAGCTTGCAGAAGCCAGAAGCAATCTCCTTGGAGCTAAAGACAGATTGTCATGTACTGGGACTAAGAGAGATCCTGAAGACATGTGCAGATATTGGATGCTTAGGAATTGGGATGGGCAGTGGGAGGGACTTCACCCATAGAGATAAAATGGTTCAGTGTTGTCTGGATGTCTCGTCTAACCCCATCCCACCCATCACAGAGAACTCTGTCTTCATCAGAGTACCTACACCTTCCTACACTCCCCCTTGTTTGGCATCAGTGTTACCACCAGGATCTTTTTTCCTAGTCAATGTGCACCTAGGTCCAGACACAGTTTACTCCTGCCTTGTCATGCCCAAGGTCAGAAAAAGTGTGCACTATGGAGACACCCAACAGAACCTGTCTGACAATCCTGAGGGATTTTACTGCAATAACATTGTCTTAGGCAGCCAGTACATCTCCTTGGAGGTAGAGGTTAGAGACAGGTCTGAATGGGGTTTGGGAGTGTATCTGGAAAATGTAGACTGGAAAGAGATGGTCTATTTATCCCCCCACTATGGTATCCCCCCACTAGGATATGGTGATAATCCTAAGGAAGGGAACAGAGTCCCAGACAGGCACAGATGAATGCCCCCTCTTGCCCTTGTCAGTACTTCCACACCAGGTAGGAGTCTTCCTAGATTATGAGACCATGATATCTCCTTCTACAATGTGACTGATGATGGCTCTCACATTTTTACTTTCCCTCATTATCCCTTCCTTGGCCTGCCCTAATTTAGTCCTTGATACAGGACTCCCCTCACCATTTGTTCCCTGGTTGGGGAAGTCTAGGATAGCTGCCATCCTAGGTTAATGTTGAAATTTGGCCTGGTACACGAGGGTGTTTCCATTAATAAGCACACCCCTGAACCCAGTTTAGAACCTAGATACCCCTCTACCTGACATATCTTGCTATTAGATAAAATTGTCAATACTTCTCACAGAAAAGCAACCTAGGCAGGTAAGCATTGTGACCCATGATGGAAACATGACAGAGACAATGAATGGGCTTTGTCACTCTGGAGGTCACAGTCCCTCACTGATTCCATAACTAAGTGTGTGGCAATGATAAAATGATTCCAGGCTCCAGAAAAGCTTTTAAATAGGACTTCCAGTGAGACAAAATAATAATGCACCTGGCCAGAGCTGATTGTCATGGTGAAAGGATGCTTCACCTGAGGCTTACTGCTACCAATCAAACCCTAAGCCCCAGACCTAAGAAACACACAGTCTGTGTTTTCCCAACATGGAATGCAGAACTCACCAAGATACTCAGCACATCACCTCCCTGAGCTTGGGAGAGGGTCTTTGTTCTGGGTCTGTCTTTTCTCTAAGGGGTGGGATCCAAAAGTTGGAGACCTTAGTTTTTATTTTTGCTTTATGAATGAAGAAACTAAAACAGCTTTAAGTTGTTTCCTACAGGGATTTGGGAGTTAAGATGATAAAGGTTATAAATGATTTTCACATTCAAATGAAACAAAGTTGACAACTCACAGATCACAGGTCCCGGTGACTGAAATGTGTTTGAGAGGATTTGGGTGACCTCTTTGGAAAAAATAACTCTAATCTGGCTTAAAATAACATGTCCTCCTACCCTACCAGTTTATTGTAAAGTCACAAAATCCATCCCGTATTTCTGTTCTCTGTAGAGAAGGGAGGGCCCACAATGGACTCTGCACGTGGCAACCATCCCCTTTGTCCCATGCATCAAGAACCTTCATAGCAGCACATTTCTTCCTTATGGTCCCTCCCAACAGCCTAGAGCCCTTTAAACAAAAAAGATAACCATGTCACACTGACACTTGGCCACAGAGTTATGTTGTATATCTGATTACATGTGTTTGTCTCTGAGTTAGAGTGAGGTCTGCAACCTCAAAATAAAAAGCAAGATAATAGCAAGGAAGAAGAAATAGTCATCAGGAAGTAAAGCCCACCAAGCAACTAGTTGATGTTAAATTAGGATCTTCTCATGCCACCAGGGAAATCTACATGGTTCTTGTAACCATGTATAATGTTCTCTTAAAGGTATAAGGAAGCAAAATGTGTGGAGAGAATCATACTAAACAAAAGCCAACTTAGGAGTCAGATGAAAGGAATAATGACAGGGAATTAAGAATGTATACTGAACTGTTACTTTACAGTGGTGGTTATGTCAGGGAAAGTTGTACAAAAATAGCCCACAGGTAACAAAATTGGGATGTGACAAAATTGGCTCTGTCTATGGGGAGGGGCCAATTGTTTGTTGCCTCCATGTTCCCAAGTTTATATTCTATTGCACATACAAGTTAAATGAAACTATTAAACATATCAGACTATTTCAATCATCCCATATCTATAACATTCTCACTAAAAATTGAAATTTTATGCAAGAATAGTCTTTACAGCTTCATTTTGGTCTCTGCACTGACAAGCTAAACAGTATAGCCTCATACATCTTTAAAACTTCTGTGCACTTGTCTAAGGAACTAAATGGATACATCTTTATGTTCATGAACCTTTTCTAAGGAAGCATGTCAGCAACATCTTCATCCTCTCCCGGATCTGCTTGGTCCTAATACCATAAATGACAGGATTTAAGGTGGGTGGGATGATCAGGTACAAGTCAGCTAACAACACTTGAGTGTGCATCGGAACTACATCCTGCCATAACCAGGCTATATATATGGATGCCATCCCAGGGAGATAGAATAGACACATAACTCCCACATGAGAGCCACATGTGCTTAATGCCTTCTGCTGTGCATTCTTTGAGGACAAACCAAATACTGCCCTGAGAATCAAAATATAGGAGGCAGCAATGAAGACTGTATCAGAGCCCACAATAATAGTGGAACAAATCAAGCTATACAAACTGGTGGGCGTGGGGTCTGTACATACTAACTTGGCCACAGCCATGTGTTCACAGTAGGAATGAAAGACTACATTGGAGCCACAGAAAGGCAAATGACTCAACATCCAACTCAATGGAGTCACAGAAATGACAGCTCTACTGATGATTGTCACACATAATCCCAGCATCAAATTAGGTTTGAGAATTCGTTTGTAGTGTAAGGGCTTACAGATGGCCACATAGCGATCAAAAGCCATGGCCAGGAGCAGCCCTGTCTCCACAGCTGTCGCTGCATGGATAAAGTACATCTGAGTGAAACAAGCATTAAAGCTGATGGAACTGTCTCCTGAACTGAAGATGCTCACCATCTTAGGTACCACAGAAGAAGCCATAACAATGTCCACAGCAGCCAGAACACATAGAAAGAAGTACATGGGCTCTTGTAGCATGGAATCCATGCAGATCACAGTAATGATGAGGGTGTTTCCTAAGAGGGCTGTGCTGTACATAGCACTAAATGAGATGGCCAGCCCAAGATAGGAAGACTGCAAACCTGGAATGCCCACGAGGAGGAAGGTGGCAGGGGATCCCATTGTGTGGTTGTAGGATAGTCCTGATATCATAGGTGAGATGAGGTTTCTGTTGCAATATAAAGTGATGAAAGAAGAGAGGATGGAGTACCACCAGATGTGTTCTTCTCTGTGGTACAGACAAATCTGAGTGTCAAGCCAGTGTTTTCTGAATCAGAAAACACAAATTAAGCCATCTTGCTCCATTTCCCATGCTCATCAAGGTTCTCTGTGTTAACAGAGTCTACTCACTATTCAGATCATCTGTTGGTTTTCCCCCTTTAGGAAGTCTGTGCCCTTTTTCCTCTCATGTTGCATGAAAAGGTGAAGTTAGAAACCTTTCTCATAAAATCTCTTGGAATGACCTAGAAAAGATATGAGTTGGTGGTTCTAATGCTCTACCTTGGTCTTTCTTGTATTTTCTAGTGGGTGACTTTTGTTCAAGTGGTATCACTGTCAAGAGATGTTAGCTGATCTTCAGGGGAAAACTTGGAGTTCTTCTTAGAATATAAAACAAAGCTCTATGTACTTCTTTTGGCCTGCTGCAGGAAGGGAAGGAACTAATTGCATTGCTTCTAGAGTCACACCCCACAACGAAAAACATCATTGTATCACTTACTACTTGTTTTCCCCTTGATCATATCATAAACTTTCTGTGCCTTAATTTGATCATAGGTGTTTTGAAATTTAGGTGGAAGACAAATACAAAGTACTAAATTTTCAAAGATTTCAGCAAATTTTAAAATGAGTCTGAGAGTCTCTGCTTAACCTTTTAACTCCAGATAACTCTAAGAACATACATAAGAGAGTACAACAGAGACTAAAAATAACTAAATCCACCAGCAGTGGTGGTGTATGCCTTTAATCCCAGCATTAGGGAGGCAGAGGCAGGCGGATCTCTGAGTCGGAGGCCAGTCTGGTCTACAGAATAACTTCCAAGACATACACAGGGAAACAACACAGGGGGAAAAAAAAAGCAAATTAAATCCACCAAATCCACCAACACAACACCCATTCCCTACTCTCTTAAGGTTTTCAGTTGCCCTGCCACAATCAGCCACTGAGGTTTTTCCTTAGAGTTAGCATAACCGCCAAGATAATTCTAGAATGCAGTGAAGAGCTCCCTCTCTGCTCTTTGTCTGCTCATTTAATATTTTTATGTTATTATCAATGCTGTAAAAAAATTATTATACTATGTACAACTCTACCTCTAATTATAAAGCCTAAGATTATGTATATGGCTCTGATGTCTTACATACTAGAGATGTGTTTAGTCTTTTCAAAATAAGGAACATTTGTTTTAATTGTCTCTTCTTTGAAATAGTTAATTTTTTCTTGAGAACATCAATAGTGACCTTCATTAAAGATCTGTTGTGAATCCAACAACTTTTTAAGCATCATTTCCTATATGTTTGTTTTTCAATTCACTCTTTGGGCCACTCAAAACACATGCTATAAAATACAGAAATCTAAGGTGTAGAGGTTATACTACCAACACATGGAAATATACTGCTCCCTGTTTGGAGGGGGGGCGGGATGAATTCTTTCAGTAAAGCCTAGGGCCAAATCTCCTGAGATATTTTCCAGCCTTGCATGGTTCCTTCAGTCCTGAAGATGTACATAAAGTCTGGAGGGTCCATCACTGAAAAGTGGCATAGGTAAATCATTTAACATCAATAAGTAAATCATAAGATGTAAGATGACATTTTATTACAAATAAAAAGATGGAGGATGCATAATTAACGTGCTGTCCAGATGAAAGCAGTACGGCATGCCTTGCTGTCTGTGATACCCTCATATCCCTACCTAAGTGCCTCTGTCAACACCCAAACACAGTCTCACTCTGCCCTGTGGCATCTGTTTTTCTCCATCAAGTTTTGGTCCCTAAAAATATGTATGTACCATTCCAGTGTTGCACTTACCATTTCATGTCTCTGCTTTGAACACAAGTAACCCTATACACCTATTCCTTTTCTCATGTCTGCCATCCCTGGAATCATTTCCATAAGTGTCCATAATGCCCAGACCTGACCAGCCCCATTATACTTGTATACTTAAATAGAGGGCTTGAATCCTCGTTTCTGAGGTGACCGACCCTCACCTCAAGACTCCTTAAGTCCAAACTCTGTTTCCTAATTCAGTTATCCATATGAAAGATTTTTTTATATAACATTCATTCTCTGGTTAACAATGCCCACTATTCCACATTTCTTATACCAAATAATGTTAAGATTCATATAAGACCTTCAAGAGAAGCAGTACTATCACAGGAGTCACAGGAGATTGGAGACAGTGGAGTTACAATGAGTGTGGTTCTTTCCAAATATCCCCCATTGGGAGACTCCCTT